TTTTTTTTTTTTATTAAACGTTAAATTAAAATTGTTTATCTCCAATATATAATATTACGTATATATAATAATATAGCAAAATATACACCTCAGTCATCGGTACTTATTATGTACGAATGTACCACAATTTAAACTATATAACTTTGAGTTTCGTCACTAAATATCAACTTTAACCTTGTAAATGTAGTAGGTATATTATTATTATTATGTAATTCAGAATTATGCTATAAACGAATAATGCACGTATTATAAAATACTCTTTTATCAATTATGTAATATTATAATGTGCCATACATGGTGTTTCCATGTGAACCCAATGACCGGGAAATTCGAAGCTTGGTATATTCCACGTGATGTTTCCGGTTAGCATCTCGTTGTCCGGGTCGTCCGCGWAGCTGTACGTAAAGTCCATGGAAATCTCCGGCGTGTCCGGTGATAAATTGAACGTCGACCTCATGCATCTGTAGATYTCCACCTCTTCGGAACTCGCATAGTACTCGATCACGTTCCACGGACCTTTAATCTGAAAATCGGATTTCGTTTCATTTATATTGYTAAGCATTAATTTATCATGAATAATTCGACATAACATGTGATGTATAATATCGATATACGTACTCATATATTATGTTATTTTCGTAGCGTATCCCATATACAGATTTATTATATAATAACACAATTCGTTAGAAAGGATTGAGGTGTGCATTGTTTTGGAAAAAATAAGTAAAGGGTTGATAAAGATGTAAACTAAAATATAGAATGAAATAATTTCCCACAGTTTCCCCTCCACTTTGATCATTGTGTTTTATATTCTATACGAATATGGCTATGATGATAGAAAAAAWAATATATCATTTTACTGCACACACCACAATAAGTAACGGTTACATGAACATTTGAATATCAAATAACGAAATTTATACGCACTTATTGGTACCAAAATGTATTACAAACATTTTGAATGTACGTAGGTACATATATTATTATTATATCTTATCTACATTTATATATTTGATTAAAACGATTTTATAATAAAATATACAAACATATTATCAAATATGTAATAATAATTTTTTTGCTTGTGACGCACCTAAAATTATTTTAACTGATTTAATAAGACACTTTTTTACGGGCATGAAATTAATATTCTTACAAAAATTAAATGTTGTTTAATATTATATTCTATCTCATATGATATTGAATAGTTACTTTCTGTTCCACAGAAATYGGGAGTTTTATTTTTAGAACAGTTATTTTTATTATTTAAATGATTTTTAACTGCCTAAGCTAATTTAATCGAAGATAAAGTATACACAAACCACATGTGCGAAAACATATATTAAAATATCATACTACATAATCTATTTTGTCTTTTAATTATTCAAGAAGCTAAGTACCAAATAATTAACTTAAGTTCAAACTTAATCGATGATACTTATACTTAAACTTCCTAAAATATAAAAGTGTTCTTAAAACGTATCACACTATTTCTTAAATAGTCACGGGTAGCAGAAATGTGTCAGATGACATTCTTTAAAAAAACAATGGTAWTAATTAGTGTAATACTTATACTTACTTTAAAAATATAATTGTTTACCACCTACATAGAAAAATCTTRATCAATTATGCAATTATAGCGATAATTTATTTTCTATAAATTATAATAGTTGGAACTTGATGAGTGATTGGTAAAACTGTATGTTTTAGATTCTGAGTGGAGCGATTAATATATTAATTTTACAATTATATATCAAATAAAATTTTTTTCACTTTTTGGATCAGTAAAAATGCTTAGATTTTCAAACGTTTCTGGTAAGAAAGTGAATTTATTTGGTGATTTGGGAAGATTGATACAAAAATATTCAATTATTTTTTTTTTTAATGACCGGATAAAATGAAAATAAATTTTTACCCAAAACCAGTTTTCGTCATAATTGATTTTTATTTTATGGTAATTCACATTCAAAAAACCGTGGGTACTAGAAATTATACCATTTGAATAGTGTAGCTCTTRGATATATCAATAAAATATCATCATTTTCTGTTCATTTTATAATTTCATGATTTTATGGTGTTTATCGACATGTGAAATTTTTAAATTTTTTTTTTAATATAGACAAAATTCGTTAAAATTGTGAAACTTTTAAAATAATTTTGTAGTTAATAATAAAAATATTGTTTTTGAGGACTTAAAATTTTTACGAATATAATTGTTATTGAAACATTTAAGATTAATTTAATAGTATTTCTTATGATGTTATTTCGTTATAACACAAATCCATAGATTTCTAGTGAATATATTCACTCCGTTTTGCGGTAAGATAACGTCGCACCACATATAATATATTGTCGCCGTCTAACTTACGCATAATATACCAACATTTACTTCCAGTAGTTCCAATTTTATATTGGTAGGTAGCTTAAATATTAGAGTGAAATGACCTAACTATTCTCCTATGTCGATGGCTCGAAACTTTATCCTCAAATAATACCATTCTAATTAAAAACACAYTTAAAAATGTATTATTCAGTTAAATATAAAAATAAACCTAATTAGTATGACCTTTACACTCACTGCATTACATTGTTTAAATATRATTGTTATTTATATTTTCGCTTTGTTTCTTATACAATTTATGTTAGTATTTAATTAAATAAAAAAATTGCTTTTATTKTTTTTATTTGTATAATTTATTTGCTATTTCATAGTACACCTATATAGACATAACTAAAAACTAAAGTTTTTACAAAACAAAATATTTTACAGTCCTCTTCATTCTGGCATTGAAATAATAATCATAAGCTCAATAAATACCAAACCAAATCATGGGCATACTATACGAGTATTATACATTTAAATATTAACATATTATGTGATTAACAGTAAGCGAATAAAGTAATGTTTTTTTATGACAGACACTAAGACACATTTACAAAATTTTAAGCCCTCAACGAATATTATATTATCATTACTACTTACTGTACATACATGTACTTTGTTTTATATAACTATGTTTATTAGTAGTGAATAGGTATACTATATCATATACAGTTCTTACTGCGTCTAGATCACAATTACTTCTGGCCCTGACTTCTGGACACTTCTCATCGTTTTTCGATAGTTTATAACACGATGTCGARTGACTAAGACCAAAAATAACACAAAACAAAACTTTTATCACTTTAGAACACGCCATAGTAATAATATAATACGACGATGAATAATATGCACTTGTTAAATTGTATAATTCCTGAAAAAACTGGTTCAACAACGGCGAACGAGTCGCTGTAGTGGTACATAATATTATGTTTTATCAGTTATCTCCCGATATCCGGTATTCAAATGCGCACAATAATTGTAAATAATAACGTCGGGTCGATAAATACAAATATTTATCACCGAGTCTACATAAAAATTTCGACATTTTGTGTATCTGATCAAAGTTTTCAGTTGCACCGATAGTAATATGTCATAATTATTCAACAACAGTTCTGGAAATGTATAGGCACACGTTGACCTAGTTTTCATAGTGCCTTAAAATGAGAACTGGAAACGAACAGGATGAAATTAATGGTATTGGTCTATGAATAGTATTGGTGTGTATGTGTGTTATTTTTTCGGGAGGCCTCTTTAAAAAAAAACTGGTTCTGCGTTGGCCATTAATTAGAATACTCGTTTAGAGCACTGGAATTGCTGTGATTCATTTTTTTTATTTAAAGTTTATTCCAGCTCATTGATATCGTAGTCGGACACCAGTTTAACACCCATTATTGTTAATAACATATTGTAACTATTTAATTTTAGTATACCTAATATTGGTTTTAATCAGTAGTACTGCATGCTGYATCCGCTGCACCACGCGGATCCCACAAACAATACTTTCGTGGTATTTTTATACTTACAGGTGCATATAGATATGTTTTACAACGATGGGCTGMGCTGATAAACTCAAAGAAGAACTRCAAACAGTACAAACACCAAGCAAATAGGTATGTGTATGTCTCATCGGAGAAAGCTCAAAAACGTTTAAAACGCGCAGTGCACACGCACGCRYGYGTGTACTCAAGAAGTTTTGTTATATGAAGGCAGTTCCCGAATAATATATATATATTTATTTGTGCTCATAATATTGTGGACAAAAGGTCATGACAAAGATGCAGACAAGTAGTCTCATCAATTCGAGATTGTTACAAACATTTATAATGATATACAATAATTTATGATCTTATTGTATATTATGTACCTATGTCCTGTATTACACATATGCYATGGTGGTCATTATTTATTGAACAAAATTAAAAAATTGTGATGTTATTGTAATTTGTTACATCGAATACCAATTAATGCACRTTTTATAGACACCTTAATACATTTTRRGAAACAAAKCAGATTAAGAGATAAAATATTTCTGTTTAAAATATAGAATGACTTAAAAGTTCTAATTAGTAAGTAATTATGGTAATTACAGTACCTATATAATCATTAATTTTAGTTGCAAATGCGAGATTACATTAATAACATAAGCATTAACTATGGCTTTTGTATTTTGGAGTAGGTTCTTACTAGATAGGTACCTAGCTAATATATATATAAATATGTTAAACTCAATGAGTACTAAGGTTATTCCATGCTATATTTTAACTAMCGTTTTGAATTTTATTACAAAAATCAAAAATCGCGATTATTCACGTGTAAACTTGTAAAACTTTTAACAAGACATTTTAAATATCCATTTAAAGTAAATAAATTCTACTCTAAAAATAAAAAAAAATTTTTACAACTCTTCAAATTTAAATAACAACAATAATTATACTTACCACATTCACTGGTCATTATCATACCCGAATATCAGACTAAGTTTTTAAATTTATATAAGAATGATTGGCTGTTCATAACGTCTACCTGAACATTTTAACATCTAAACATTTTATTTCAACTTAAAATATTGTTAAATCTATAAACAATAAAATATCTATTATCAATATAATACACTAACATTTTTGTCAATAATAAGAAAACGATACGTTATCAAATTACATCATACGAGTGCCTAATTAATGAGTCCATTTGTTTTATTTGATAATTTATTAATGAATCGTAGTATACTAATACCATATCAATCATATTATATTTGTATTATATTAAATAAACTAAATTATAAAAATATTTTTTAATTTAAGTAGCCTAGACGTATTTTAAGGGAAGTGGCCAAACTACTACAATTATGTCCCACTTTCTCAATGATTCTACTAAGGATGCAAGAATGCTCCGAGTAATTTGTCCYCTTTCTTTTTTACTAAAATTGTATTTAAACGAAATTACATGTTAACAACTATTAAATAAACATTTTGTTAGTAAAATCAGTTTAATAAATTACCGTATTTGTTTAATGTGTTTACGTATTAGTTTTTATTATTAAATCGTATCCACTATGCAACAATATAAAAAAAAT